CAACTTTCTATTTTTACTTCACATGATACCAACAAAACAACGAAAACAATATTAAAATCATTTTAAAACTATAATTCATCATCAAAGTTTCCAAGAGGATCAGCAGCAAAATTTTCTGGATATCTCGCAAAAGTAAACTTTCGCAAATTTAGTATTTCAAGAGGTTTCACGTGTCAAACATTCGCAATTTTAGACGCTAAAGAACGCAAAAATGTCTTCTCTCGAAAGTTTCTTCCGGTGAAAGTTTCTTTCCGCGAACGTTTCTTCCCTTAAAGTAGCAAGCAACAGACAAAGGCCTTCCCCACCTTCCCCGCCTTCCCCGCCTTCCCCGCCTTCCCCGCCTTCCCCGCCCGCCTTTCCCGCCTTCCCCGCCCTTCCCCACCTTCCCCCCTTTCCGCCTTCCCCGCCTTCCCCCCTTCCCCGCCTCCCCCCTTCCCCGCCTTCCCCGCCCTTCCCCCCTTCCCCCTTCCCCGCCTTCCTTTTAAGTTCTTCTTTTCTCTGAAACCCTCTGAAAAGTGCATGTTAAAAATTTATATTGAAGTTTGTCTGTTCGATAATTATTAAATGAACAACGTGTTTAGAATTATAAAATTAAGTACAGACTAAAATTCGATATCATTTCAAGTTCTCTCAATGATATTTTAGTGTGAATAAGTTTGTAGATTACTAAATTTTAAATTTTGGCCAAGATACTAACCTAGACAAATAAAAAGGTGACATATACAAGAACAGAACTAGCAGGTTGAATTCTTGATTTTTTTCTAGATTATTGTTTTAAACTGTTATTAGAGATTCTTGGGGTTACAAAAAGAATTATTGTTTTGCAGTAAAGTTTAACTAAGAAGATTTAAATAGAATAGAACACAGCACCCATCAATAATTTATTTGGACTGGCTTTGCTTTCTGTCTTTTAGGCTTTGCTTTCATCAGTGGGTATGGCTCAAAAAAAGTTTATCTGCCACACCCTGAGCCGTGCACTTTTGGTTTGCTAGCCACCCTGCAATTTTCTTGCCAGACTGCCTCTGGTTATGAGACTAATTGTAGTTTTTTTCTACCTTTTGACATGGCTGATTAACTGAGCAAATTTTTTTCAAATTGCCATAAAAGGTCAAGAAACTCGGGTCATGTACAAAGATTTTGCCAAGCTTCGTATAAAATCACGTGTCAGGCACGAAGGCAGCACTGAAAGGTTGGGCGAGCGACAGGTGCGTGTCTCACTCTTATTGGGTGTGGTCATAACAAAAATAATCAATATGCTGCTGTGGGCGTTTTCATTTCATTATTCAGCATTCGAAAAATTCAATTTTCAAGGTATTTGTAGTGTCATACTTTGAGAAATCCGCTGCAACAGAAATGTTAATACATTACAGTTGTCAGAAAAAGGTTATAATTACATTACGGGTGAGAAAATAAATTTTCTCTTCTGCCCGACAGAAATTTTTTATTTGCCGACGGACTAAGGAGTACACCGCCCCCATACTCTTCTTTTCGCAACGTCCCTGTGTGAGGAAACTAGCTGAGAAACTTTGTACCAAATTGCAATAGAAAGTTTAAAAACTCAAGTATAAGGATTTTGCCAAGTTTCTTTTAGAAACATAAGTTTGATCTTTTATATATCCCCCCTCCCCTTGTGGTCTTTCTGACAATAGGCAAATAAAGAGTCAATCCTCGTATTAGCAGGTTTTGAGTTATTTAGATGAGAGATTTTATTCCGCTGCATTGGTACCATCAAAATTAGTTGTATTTGCCAACCGAACAAGACTTTAAAACTTCAGCATACAGATTAACAGTCTGAAACAGGAGCTGACAACCACATGTACACGATTTGAAACTTCAGGTGAAGAAGGCTTGTCGAGAAAGTGTTGAAAGACCATTATCTTGCTACAGTGGACCTTTAAGAATGTAATTAAGAGACAACTCTTGTCAGCTTTTGTTTCTAAGTAGCGCATCTTTATCTGTTTTGTTCCCTTCTGGCTTTTTTGAGTCTGTAGGGCTGATTAGAGTCCTACCACAATAACGTTTTTAACATTCTTCCAATCACTGTATTTTCTGATTGCCTAATTATGGCATTTGAACTGTCAAATATTCAACGAGTAAAAGAAATCGCAAAAGTATCTTAAACTGATGGATGCACTATCAACACTATTAGTATTTCAATCAACTCTTCTGTGCATTATTTTGGTCAATTTTAGATTTGCAAGAATGCCCCTACCGAACCATTAAATTAAAAACATTTTGTTTTAAAAAGTTTTGAAACTAAGCTTTGGATCAGTGGCGGCGCCAACCATTAGGTTTGGGTAAGAGGAGGGGGACAAAATAAAATCAAGCTATGGCCTCTTAACCAATTTTACCAACAGGGAACACACTCATGACAAACGTTTGGTATCAATGACATAGCATCATCCCACTCATAAGAATGCATTGCCAGAAATTACTCTTCCCCCAATTTTTTTCTCATCGAATTTCGACCAAAAACGAAATCAATACACCAATTCAACTTAAAGCCTCATTTTGAAAAAGTCAAATTGTTTCGTACAAAATATTTGGCATCAGATTCGGGTTTAGTGCAAGAAGTGTAGTCTAATTGGAAGATTTCAAGAATTTTAGTCTACTTGGAAAACCATGGTGATAAATCCAAAACTGTGCTTTAAAAAGTCGTACAATAAAGTCTGGGAAAATTCCCCAAACGAGGCCGTTAGTTGAATTGGTGTATTCTGCCAAGACCTGGGTGTCCCCCCTTACAACTCCCCCCCCCCCCAACCACCATTGGTGGGAATTAGAATCCGATTTCTCAATTTATGTTTATTTTGACAATAAATTTTTCTTAAACTTTTTTTTAAGTGCGAAGTATTAAAGAGCCCTTTTTAGCAATACAAATTTTAATTCAATGCTTAGAACAGAATTCAGACGACATTACGAACACTGCCAGAGGTTGGTTTCAAATAAATGGTAGACATTGTCAGAAACACAACCTTAAATTATCTCTTCGGCCCTGAGAGGCATTCATTAGTTTTAAAAATATATATCTTGGTTTCCATTTTTATTGGTCATCATGTAACATAGCAGCAAATTAAATATGTCACGGTGACCTCTTTTTATCTAGTGGCTACTGCTATCTGGCCATTGAATCTTACCCACCAAGAGGTCTTTTTTTCTCTGTTATCTGTCGCCTTGTTGGGACAGCTTTTGACTGTTTGCAAAAAGACTTGTTGAAATAAAGTAGCAAAAGTGATATTCGCAAATAAATGTGAGTCTGGACAATGAAAACCTTTTTTGAAAGATTTATAAATTCAGTGGTGAGAAAGGGGAACCGTGGATAACTGAAACCTCTTCATAAATCATTTGATATGGTCTAGAACAGAACTGAAACTCTACTCGGTAACAGTCATTCTAACATGGAGTCAACGTAATCAACATTTCCTTTAATAGACCATATCAAATCAAAATCATTTGTTTCATAATAAATATATGATATTAATGAATTTCATGGTAATAGTTTACCATTTCCCTCTGGTTCTCCCTCATTTGCAACAGATAACTCCTGACCTGCCACAACTTGGCTCTCGATGGCGAGATTTGTTTCTTTTAAGCGAAATCTCTTGACAAACATAGTAATTTGTTCATAATTTGACTTAACAAACATAGTCATTCTTAACTAACAAAAAGTAGTAAATTGCTTTTGAGTCTGCATTGTTTTAACTTGTGGAGGAGTGAAAACATATAATATACGCTAATTAATAACTAAAGGCTATAAGTTTCGTTCCTTTCCTATATCAAAGTAGAATGTAGAGGTCCTCAAATATATAATGTATGCTAATGATAAATTCAAGGTTATTTGTTGCATTCAATTCCTAGCAGACTGCAGAGAGTCCCACTTGTCCAATGTATGCGAATCAATAACATGAAGTCAACTGAATGGGTTTAATTATAATTATTACTAATTATCGTGACTATGAAATCAGGGCCGTAGCGAGAAGAAAGTTGTTGCAGTTGGGTAACAATAGGGGTTTAGCGGCAAATCCTTAAAAATCATTTTAGACCATCCGCTCTGGATGCTCTTACGCACTTTTTATTTAGAATATTTCGAAATATACACCCTGATTTAGAGATCAACGGGGGGCTTTAGAAATCAACGGGGGAGGGGGCAATATATCAAAAATTTTAGAGATCAAGGGCTGTGGTTTTGTAAACTCGTGCCTTGTAAATCTATGCAGGAAGTATAGGCTCAGACGAACCACGAACTTTAACAGGCTCCGTATTCCACTTCTCACGTTTTGTTTTGAAACGAGGTTGGTAGAAGTTGTTATGAATTTCAAGACTTCAGAAATTTTACGTCTTGATCAGAGCGAGTTCGTCTTTGTGTTTATCGACAGCGTTTAATGAAAGAAAGGAATAAAATGTAGAAGAAATACATGTGATATATCACTTTGATTCTAAACTAACTTTTTTCGAAAAGTTCTCTGTAGTGGGAAAATCCTAAAGCTAAAAAGCTTGCAAAATTAACCTAAAACAAAAGTGCAAACATAGGCCACTAAAGCAAAAGAACACAAAATGCTATTATTGTCAGCTCAAGATTTCAGAACTGTTATTCAAAAATCATTCGCCAATCATTATTCAATAATAATCATTGAGTGAATGAAGTGGGTCAAATATGAAGGAGGAATGACATTAACCGTTCGAATTCGGTTCAGCGCAGTTTTCATGAGATAACCTTTTTGCTGATGGAAGGAAACTCAATTTAAAAAACAACAGGAAGGTTTTGGGACATCGACCCCTTAATAAAACGTCGATAGAATCACTCAGCACATTTGAATGTATTCTCAGGCTAAGGAAGGAAGTCCAATTTAAATAAAGGTTTAATCGATAAGTATTTGCGGTGAGATGTTTTAATTTGAAGTCCTAACCGCCAAAAAACTCAAACTCAGCGACGCAAAACAAGCTTAAGATTTTAGGGAATGCATCTTTTTGCAAAGTTGACTTTTGTTGAAATAAAAACATACCTTTTGTATTTGCTTTTCCCAATTGTCACTTTACGTTGGTGCTTCGGCCATCGAGACAGCCACTGGTTGTGCAAGGCTTTCTCGCCTCCGTCAATAACTTGCCCTGCAGTTCTTTGCTCTTCGGGCATTGCTTCGTCGGTAGTACTGAACTCACTGAAGTACCTGTCAAGTAAAAAAGGCAATAACACGAACGGGATCATCTACTCGAGTATCGTCTGCCTGTACATGAAAGTGAAATTTAGTAATCCGTTTGGTACAGGCCTAGCATGGATAGGATTACAGTCATAATTGGAGCACACGGATAAGCAAGCATCTTCGAATCGATCGCGGATTAAAGCACAACACTGCCCTCAAACACATCGTATATACCTTTTGCAAATAGAAAAAATAGTTAATGCCAATAAGACTTAGTTTTCTGGTTGAAGATGAATCCAAAAGGTAATTCTAAACTGATTTAAATAGGACTGCTTCGTAAGGGAGTGACCTCTACTTAGAGAAATGAAAGGAGGATTTTCCGAACATGAGAAGCAGATTCATGTCACAGTATTAACCAAAGAGGGCACTTGGCTGTGAAGGTGACCTTGTCAGGAATGAGCGCCGAATCAAACGAGCTGCCACATGAACAAGATTTTCACCCACCTGGTAAGAAAGGGGGATTAACAAACCACAGAAACTTTGTTTACACAAGTCCAAAAATAAGCTAATTTCTGCAAAATTGTGATTCTTTCAAGCCACTCTCCGAGCAGGAAGTTTTGTTTAGCATAGAGCTTAAGAAAGTACTTCCTTAAATTTCTTCAAGTCTTCTAAAAAACGATACAAAAATCCTTCCTTTTTTAAAATACAGAAAGTAGTTATAAAGTCATAATTTGAAAAATAGTCATAAAAAATGAAATTACAGAATTAAATAGAGAGGAGGCCATCATAAACTTAAGAAAAACATAACAAAACGGATTGCTAATGAAACTTAAGCAAATTAATTGAAGATAGGTTTTATTAAGACAATAATAGTAGTCTTGAAAAAGAAATTTCAATTGCATCAAATATATATTAATCAGTTTTAATCGGATTGGTTATCTTCTAAAGTAAATGAGGATGCAAATCCTATGTTTTAGGCAAACAGTATAGTCGTTGAGGGATGCAAAATTTTGAAGATCTCTTCTGTAAGCTACACATAGGCCTGGTTGTATGTTGCACAGCGCCTGATGGCGAAACACTTGTTGTGAACTGTCCATGTGAAAAGGCTGCTTAATGCTAGAGTGAAAATTTGAATTGATATTCACCCTGGCCTTGTGAAACAGTTATATTTGAATATAAACAAGAGGAAACATATTTGATTGAATTAAATGATTTTCAATGTTTATTACAGATATCCAATTATGATATCATAGTTACGTCCTTATGTCGTCATGTTTAAGCAAAGTTATCTAGAAAAGTAGCTCTAAATGTGGTTTTCTTACTCGAATAAAATCATCCTCTTTAACGAAGCAAAGTTTGTATCCCAGAAAGCGAAGACATCACGGTCTTTTCGTGTAAGTAGTCTGATTATTGGAGAATAAACACAGCAAAACGGCATCATTTGTAAAATACAACAAAGTAGCACAAAATAATATAACATTTGACACAAACTCACAGCATAGATGCCCTCTTTCTTCAGACGTTTTATCCCAACACTGTCAAACTCGACGGCGAGTTGATAAGTTCGATACTGTAGCAATGTGTCACAAGCATTGGCAGACTGTTGTAATGGTCTATTATAAGCGAGACCGCAATGATTAACCCCGATATCATGCAGCTTCCCAACACAATGTAACCAAAAATGATCGCGCTAGTCCCTTACGACACTGTTCTTAGGACCAGCCAAACGATCACGACTTAAACGCAATCCTTGGCTTCTTGTTAAACCTAGAAAACATTGCATCTGCGTGACTTTGACAGTTTGTGAGTCTGTTTTTGCAGTACGAGACTTTTTATGAGCAATGATTGTTTAAATGTTGTTTTGCATGGCTTAAGGCGATGGAGATTCTGTTGGAAACCAAAACATGATGATTATGTTCTTTATTTTGACTTTGATTTTGAGGAGTTTGATTATGATGATAACTAAGATAATTGATGATGGAAATGGTGAAGTTGATGATATCATATCAATTCTTGTTTAGTTAGTCTTTAGTTGTTGTCGCTGCTGTCTGTATCCTATAATCTTTGTTTGAATTGTTTATAGATTTTCTCTTTAGACAGGATTGACAGACGGTTTAGATTTAGAATAATAAAGCCTACATTTTCCCCAACGTAACCAAAGCCAGTGCCTCTAAGAATAACTGTGACATTCTTGGAGTACTGTGTAAAGAATGATTTGTTTTTTAAGCAAAATCAAATCTGTAGAGAATGTTTTTGTTTCCTAAAATGAAAAGGTGATCAGATTTCGTACCCATGTCGCCAGGCAAACCAGCCAGACCTTTCCAAGATAGTAAATCAGCTGAAGAAATGTAATTGTTGTTAGGGCGAAGATAAGAGTGATTGTGGGGAAAACCAATTTCGCCCGACTTAATTTGGATATATAAATTTGGATAAAGTCAATTTTTTTGTTTTAGATTTATTGAGCCGTCTCAAAGAGCCTGTCATGACTAAATTGCCTGTCACATTTCTATTGAACCAGGAGAATCCCTCTTGGGCCTGCTAGCCCCTTTCTTAAAACCTGTGAAACTTAAGGCGAACTCCTTCAAGTGTAATTTAAATTTGTATTTACTTAGGAGCATTAGCTAATGAACAAATTAATTTCAGAATTAATGTTACTGTAGTCCAGCCAATGAGTCGTTTTTGAAAAGTGTTTTTGGTGAGGGAGCAACTTTGTGAGAGACTAAGTGAATGATCAAATGAGTGAGTGAGCGAGTGAGTGAGCGAGTGAGTGAGTGAGTGAGTGAGTGAGTGAGTGAGTGAGTGAGTGAGTGAGTGAGTGAGTGAGTGAGTGAGTGAGTGAGTGAGTGAGTGTAACCTCAACTGTGGAACTTCTTTCCCTTCTGCTAGACCCCTCTGTTGGTCTTTTTTATATACTCTTTGCATATTCGAAGAAGATTGTCAGCTCGTTGTTTGTTTGTTTAAAAGCATATGTCAAAAAACTAAGAAAAGTGGTGTAATACCAACCTTGTGCTAACCTAGTGATCTGGGATCCAGCTTGTTGTTGAAGTAGTGTGCCCAGATGAACGGGGGCATGTATCAGTACAGGCATGTGGGACGTTTATTCATATATTACTTCATATAGAGTGTTTCATATGCAAAATTGCACGAACTATTTGTTGCTTCGTAAAAAAGAAACGGTTGCCAAGTCTTTGGTTCATTAACTTCTTAGTGATTTGAAATTTACCTTGCGATGCATAAGTTTCTACGTGAAAAATTGCCGAACGGCAGAGTTGGGAGGTGTTACACCCTGCTACACCCCCGGTCGGGACGTCTCTTTTTGGAGTAATGCAAACTGTTCGTTATTATAAAGTCATGATTAATATTGTGTTTTGTAGAGTAGAAGGGCCTAGAAGTGATTTCGAAGGTGCTTACGAATACATGCATTCATCTGTATAATTGGTGTGTGTGTTATAGTGTTTAGGCAAGAAAGGGAATTTCGTTTTGGAAGGGTTATGATGGAATATCGAAGTCTCTTACAAAATAGTGAAATATTTTAGTGTCCTGGCATTAAAAATGTGTTGCACTTTTTTTTCTTAAAAAATTTCTCAGTGAATATGCATAGCCTTTAATGAAATTTTGTTTTAAAAATTTCTAAATTTATCTGACTTATCCTTCCTTAGCTATAATTGTGAAATTCAAATTTTCCCCTTATTTTACTAGTAAAGAGGTGGCATGGATATTTATGATTTCGATTATAACTTTTCATTAAAATTTGTAATCAGCCCTCTGCTATGTACATAGTCGAGATCTCGACGAAAGATAACAAACGTTGTAACTCGTGTGTAACTTCTTAATCATAATAACTTCTAGAAAACGAGCGAACTCTGCAACAAATTATCAACAACTGTTCAGGGACGTAGGAATTATTTCAAAATGGAGGGCCACCAATGTAGGAAGTTGCACCATGTCCCAGGAAAAGGAGCATTGCTTCGAAGAGGTTATTCCTAAAAACGGACATTTTTCCAAAAGTTTTGGGGGCATGTTCCCCTGGTGCACCCCATGTTCCAACGTCCCTGCAACTCTTCCAAATTCAGACCGCGTTCTGCAAACGTCAAAGTGCAAATGTCTATTATAATCAAACGATGCAAAATAAACACAAAATAAAGAGGAAGACAAGTAACGTTTCTTCGTAACTCGTTGCCTGTTCCAAAATTGGCAATAACGGTATGTCAATCTTCAAAAAGCCCAAACATTTACAGTTGCAAATGTAGGGACTTTCAAAACTTGATTAAACTTAATTGTTAGAGTAAGACAATGGTTGATAGCAAAGAGAGTAACGACTGCTTACCAAATGCTTTGCTTTCTGCTTGATTATTCTGGTTTACCACTGGAAAACAGAGGATTTCGAAACATTTGTCACATCAAGGACAATACAGTCATACTGCGATGTTCAATTACTTTGGTATTTAAATCTTTCATCTTCTCTGTGACAGACAGTTAAATTTGGAATTTTGTAGCATGCAACTGTGCAGCGGCTAACAAAAAAGGTTTTTGATCAGGGTACAAACCTCAATGATATGTGAAAAACTTCCTGTCATACCTTTAAGTGTAGTCTTCTACGATAGGTTTTGAGAAAACACGAACATTTGAATCCTCTTAATGCGCGATACTGCCAGCTGCAATTTCGAATCTTTGAAATTTTCTAGCTCGCTCTACTTTACCTATTTAAGAGGATGAGAATCTCAAAGAAAAGAACTCACGGAGCCTCTGTATGCGGTTGCTTGAGTTTGGGAACCCAAACAGCCCCCGAAAATGAATTTTTCTGACGACCCTGGTTTAGTGATGTTTGTGAATTTCACATACCACACAATATTGGAGGGAGGTATTTAGACAAACCCTTTAAATAGCACCCTGTTACATGCATGTATAGTCCAACATATACCCTAGCCTCTTTCCCCATTCAAAGTGGATGCTTATGCACTTTCGTAGAACAAATATTAGCTTAAGACAGGGGGGATGGGATGAAAAATCTCTACACTGTCAGCCCGGGACTGCATTGTAGATCTTGTTTTGAAAGGCCTATTAATTATATATTGTTATACAGGGGGGTATGAAGCTTAGATGCCCGAAGAAAGGGCGTCTAATGCTGGATGAAAAGTACATCGCCTCAAGAGTTGAAATCATCGGGGACCCCGAGAGACTCCATTAAGTACGTTAGGCCTTCAGAC